AAAAAAAAAAAAAAAAAAAAAAAAAAAAAAAAAAAAAAAAAAAAAAAAAAAAAAAAAAAAAAAAAAAAAAAAAAAAAAAAAAAAAAAAAAAAAAAAAAAAAAAAAAAAAAAAAAAAAAAAAAAAAAAAAAAAAAAAAAAAAAAAAAAAAAAAAAAAAAAAAAAAAAACCTCGATGTTATGTGCCATGCTACAAATCAAGGGTAGTGGTTGGGGATCCTTTCTTGGTCACCAAGACTTGCCTAGTTGGAGTCTTCCCTTTCGACATTCGGGAAGCCTCCACGACCTGTGGATGTGATGTGATCAGTTCCACATCATATGAGACTGAAAAGCCAAGTAGCACCATCTTATCCTCGGGATTCAATGGCGAGAGACACACTTTCCTCGCATCTTTAAGCTCCTTTGTTTCCTGCAGGAAATTCAGGATAGCTTGGTCTTTGGGAACAATAATCATGCCCTGGTCTCTGGCAACCCGGATCGACAACCAGATTTTTCTCTGCATCTCCAATGGTCAGACCAGTTGGTAGGCATTGTCGAAGCATTCGGGTTTTGAGGACACTTTAAACTGAGGGGTCCAGACTCCGGCCTCGGTCATTTCGGCCCGCCCTTTCGGCTTTGGGCTTTTGCTTGTGGGAGCAGCAGTTGATTCAGCTGGTTCAGCTTGTGCTCCCATCTCAGTCAGGAAGGACGTCTGAGGGGAACTCAGAGGCCTCCTGGCTTACACACACACACGCAGATATATATACATATATATTTATTTATATATGTATATATACACATATATTCTGGATTCTTTTCACTTTCATGTGACTTTCCTGAGCCTACTGGAGTTCCTTGTGAACATCGAATGACTGTCCTTCGCCTAGGCAAGTTCGGAGATAAGGAAGTGTCTTCCACATAACTCGATCCTCCTTTGGTCCTGGAGAATGCAACCAGGCTTCCACTGGGGGGAGGGGGTAGAGGACAGAGAATTACCTTACTCTCTTAGCTATTGCTGTTAGGTTGATACCAAAAGTTAAGAGTTTTTGATCTCTTCAGGACTACGACTTCGGGCCAAGGGAGCCGACCTGGTCTGATACCCAGGATGGATACTACCTCAGCTACCCCTTCTCCTCCTCAAGAAGGAGGGGCGACCTGTGACCACTCTACAACCAATTCGACAATGAACAATTAAACCCCTGCTAATGACAAACCTAGACCTCTTTTCAAAATCCCTACTGAGAATGCAAGGTTCGCGAATGAAAAATGTGTGAATGAAAATCAATTGCTTTTGAATGTGAACCCCTTTATGATCAAAACGGTCCTTGATGGTCAAGTGGACGAGAATTTTGATTTTGTCAAAAAAATTGTGATGAAGCCTCCTTGTTAAAGTACAATATAACTCCCAGATTAAGGATTTACTTAAGCTGACACAAATTCATGACCTCGGAGTTAAATCAACTATTCCTATTGGCCCAAATACCTGTAATGGAGTAATCTTTCACAGAGATTTGAGGATGAAAGTGAAATTCTCGAGAGCATGAAAGACCAAGATGTAGTAGACGTTCATTGTATGACCAAGAAGGATGGGAATGTGCGAAATAAAACTGGACTGAATATGTCAGTATCGGATACGAATGTGTCCAAGTGAGACCTTACATCCAAAAACCAATGCGTGGTAATAGATTTCCAAAATTCGGACACACCTCATTAACATGCACTGATAATGACTCAAATAAATTTATTTGCCGTAAATGTGCTGAAGCCCATGATACCATCACAAGTACTAGTCAGATTTCCAAATGTGCTAACTGTGAAGGTCCCCATCAGTCAGGCTCTGCTGAGTGCAGCAGCCTGAAGAAAGAGACCGAGACATTAGCATATATGAGAAGACATGAAGTTAGTTATACTGAAGCTAAGAGAAAAGTGCAAAGTTTGACACACAAACCCGGTACTTTCTATGCTTCAGCAGTAAGTAACATAATCCCTAGTGCAAGTAATGTCAGTCAACAGCTTGCAGCTAAGAATAAAGAAATTGAACTGAACTGAACTGAAACAAACTGTCAAAGAAATATACATTAAAGTATATCAAGTGACAAAACTGGTCGATCAAATGGCTGCATAAACATCGCGCCTCCCCATGTGGGCGATTCCTGTGAGGGCTTCGCCTAGCTTGCGATCGGTTTCGTGAGAAAGAAGCAGGCCGCCATCTATCAGTCGTCTCCCTCGCCAGGAGATGCAGGACATAGAGGTTCTAGACCATCCCGAGGGAGGTCCCCGGGAAGCGAGGGAGAGGGGCTGTCTCCCTCCCACTAAAAGAAAATAAAAACTGGCAGACAAGGCACTTACAAACCCCATAAAATATAATCTTGGCGTCGACCATTATACAATGGAACTGTCGAAGTCTCAGCATTAGATTAAGTGATCTTAAACTATTAGCCTCCTCCTATGCTCCTGATATTATAGTTCTCCAAGAAACGCCCTTAACGCTGAGGAACTACCATTTTTGCCTCCCTTTTAATGAATTTAGTATTGATTCTACTTCGGAGTTTGTCGTATGCAAAGTAAAAATTAATGGCAAGTATCTGTTCAGTTTATTGTTATGAGCTCTTTGCTCTTCAGGATAGTCTGCCATGAAATAAATTAATTTTAGGTGATTTTAATGCTTGTCATACATTACGGGGTTCCCTACAGGTGGATGGTAGAGGTGAGCAAGTTAAATAATGAATCTGCACCTAAATTTAATGTAAAATGAGCATACTTGGTCGCCTTCACAAGGACCGTCAAGCTTGAACTTATTGGAGAAACCATTGATGATAAAGTAAACAATATTTGGAATTCGATTTTAGATACAGCAATGATATTCATTCCTAAAACTTCGACAGACAGCGTTAAGCATAGAGTTCCGTGGTGGACACCAGATTGCACTGTGCCAACGTAATAGGGCCTACCGGCTTTTCAAAAATACCATCGATGATAATAATAATAAGAAGAAAAAAAGCAAGAAGAGGCTTCTGGCGAAGCTTTGTCTCTACAATAAATAGCAGTACAACAATATCAGAGGTTTGGTCCACTGTTAATAAAATAGATAAGAAAAAAACGTCTTTCAAAATAAAAAAAAAACATCTTTCACGAAGGTACTAATTTTAATTCACCTAGAGATATTGCTAATGCACTCACCAGGCAGTTCTTTTATACAAGCAGCTCAATTACCATCCCACATTCCTGTCCAAGGAAGCGGCTGAGCTGCAATCATTTCACTTTGCCACAAGAGGTCTTTGATTACAAGGAAGATCTAACAATGGATGACCTTGTCTGAGCCCTGGAATCCTGTAGAGGAACATCCCCAGGCCCGATGAGATTCAATATGAGATGATAAAGCATCTTAATTATGATACCATGATTAAGTTGCTAGAAGTGTACAATGAAATTTGGAAGAGCCACACTTTTCCAGCACTTCGCCCACATCATTCCCATATTGAAAGGTGGGGGAAATCACAGATCTGCCATCTCCTACTGCCCAACTGCGTTGACAAGTTCTCTACACAAGGTGATGGAATGAATTGTTAACAGTAGGCTATTGCATTTTTTAAATTCCAGTAATTTACTAGTTGACGAGCAGTGCGGCTTCCGAAAGGGACGCCAAACTCTTGATCAACTAGTAAAACTGGACAGTCATATTAAAGAGGCAATTGCCAAAAAAAGTATTCTTAGATATATAAAAAAAAACCACGACATGACATGGGGATATCGCCTACTCAGAAAACTTTATGCTTTTAGATTAGGTGGAAACTTGCCTTGTTTTATTAAAATTTTCATTTCTGACAGAAATTTCTGTCAAACTTTATTCCGACAATGTCACTATTTCGGACATTTTTGTCCAGGCAAACGGGGTCCCAGAAGGAGGTGCCTTGTCGCTAACATTATTTCTATGTATGATAAATGACATCTTACGAGCTCCCCCTCGGAATCTTATACTCACTGTTCGCCGCTGATTGTGCATTATGGCATTCCAGCAGTAAAGCAGAATTCTCGGCAAATCGCATCTAACTGGCACTGGATATGATTCATAACTGGGGCCTCCAGTGAGGTTTTAAGTTTTCCACAAGAAAGAGTATTTGGGTAATTTTCTCACACAGAAAGTGCCAAACATCAGACTAACTTTAGATAACCACCCAATACCTATTCAAAATTCTGCTAAATGTCTTGGTCTACTCTTTGATCGTAGACTTAATTGAAAAGACCACATTGGTCAGTTAAAGAGTAAATGTTAAAGAGCACTAAATTCATCAAAGTACATATCTGGTTATAAATGGGGAACTGATAGAAAGTCTTTGCTAATGATATATAAAGCCCTGATTAGGTCTAAAGTAGATAATGAGTCAATCGTGTATGACTCGGCATCAAAATTAAGTTTGAAAGGTTTGGATGCTGTGCAGAATGCTTGTTTGCGTGTGTACATTGGAGCCGTGGGAAACCCCCAACTTTTCCATCCTAGAAGCTTGGCTTCCATCAGCTAAGGCCATGGTGCCGGAGGTTAGAGAGGTCCTTGTTAAACATTTTTTTTTTCATATATATACCGACGACTCCAAGACAGACGAGTGTGTGGGCATGGGTGTTTGGTCGACTGAGTGTGAACTATTGTCGACGACCCAAGATAGAATAGTTATTTTTTCAGATTCACTAAGTTCACTTAAAGCCATAAAATCATTAGAAACCACCAAAAATTAACTGTTGGGTACTGTCATTCGTAAGCTACATGAAATCCTTACATGCGCTTTATCTAGACAATTTTTGATTTTTCTGCCGAAGGGAAATGCGGTAGGAAAATATACCTATATTATCATGAGATTAGACTAAGGACTGAATAAATCAGCTTTGATTGCGTTAAAAATGAATACACTAGGGGACCGCTACAACATAATACCTGCGCGACAACGTTGTCGCGCAGGTATTATTAGGCTTGGGAACGGAATCTGTCCTCGTAACAGTGAAAGTGCCGAGGTAAAGGCAATGGCAGCGGA